TGGAATGATATTTGCAGTGCAATTTACCTTATAATCAAAAATTTATAAAAATAGAGACGGCCTGGGTGCAATTATTATGTATAACATGTATAACTAATGTAACATATTTTAAGCAACAATTAATTTTCTACCTATAAAAAATTATTTAAAAAAAAATTGTATTTAATTAACTTAACTTACGCTAGACCGATATATTTGTTTAATTTAATGGGTAAAAAATTATAACAATGAATTTATACAGCTAATAATAACGCACGCCCGCTTTAAAGTGTCAAATGTAAAAAAAAATCTCAAAATTACTTTTTTACTTGTGACACTTTTGAAGCGGGTTCCCGATACATTGTGTTCTCATTTTTATTTATTTGTAAGAACTTATGCAAGCTGTAAAAAAATATGTGGTTAGGGTGAAAAGGTACCATAAGTAAGTACAGAAAATTGAGTATACCAAAAATTGCCTTTACTACCCAGTTTTTATTTTTATTTTCTCTTGCATGCATTCATCCACTGTGCTACCAGATCTTTATTTTTTGTAAATCTAAAATATTTTGGAGTTTCTGTTCATATTTCTGCTGTCTGCATATCCCGGCATATTTGAAATAGTTATTAAGCCCAAGAATTATAACACAAACTTAATAAATAACCTAGTATAAAGCACCCGTGCGTGTTCAATAAATGCAATCAAAACTTTACGAAAAACGTTGCAAAACCATCGTGCGTGACTTATACTTAAAAAACACAATAATTTCGGAAAAACTCAAAAGAAATCGTAGTAAAACACCCGTGCATAGCATATGCCTATGCAAAACTGTTCTGTGATTTGAATCTGGTTCGCACATGCGCGGAGTCGACGAGTTTTCGTTTCATAATCAGCATACCGGTTTTTGTGTATCGTGGTATGGATAAGAATTGAATGTTTTAGTCATAGACAAAAGAGATGACCAAAGCAAATACTTGGTCTATATGCGGCTTCAAACCCAGCAAACTACATTTGAGTAACATTTTCGGAAATTTAAAAATCCTTCTAAAGTATTATAAATACGGGCAATAACATGAGGTATGATATTATTAATCAATCATTTCAACTTGACTCGTATTGTCTCAAAAATTTTGATAAATGTGATGAAATTTGCTAATAGAAAATATTGGAGTTTGCTGTGTTTGATATTAAATGTCAATTTTATATTGGCAAAACGTACCTACTATAGCAAAAAAAAATTATAAACCTTATTATTTCAATAAAGTTAATAAAAAAATGTTGTATGCATCTCATGGGCGAAATTTCTTTGGTTTCTTTGGCTTTTAAATGATTTTTTGCCTCGTATCGCCTCACCAAAATTTAATTTCGTGCACTAGGTAAATAATGGCAGTAAAGTATACTTTGTGTTTTAAAAATATTACTTATTTTGCCATAGACTTATTTTAAAATTTTTATTGTTTTAATGACATTTTAATTTTATAATATTAAACTATAGTATATATATATATATATATATAAACAGGATTTAAATATTTAACAAGGTCTTTTTATATTTTCATAAATTCAATATTTTTGAGATATTCTGATGATTATTGACTTGTGAAGGTTATTAATTAAATATAAATACACGTACTTATGTCAGGACAAAAAACTTTAAAATTTTAATTTAATATTTATTTTTAAATGAAAAGCTTAAACATTTATTACTTATTATTAACCGTTAATTAAGGGTTTATGACCAGTAAATAAAGTTCACTTTTTATTTAAAAATACATTTTAAATTACAACTACTTTATTATTATTTTGTATTAACGATGTCTTCAAATTATTATTTTGTGCTTCGCTTAATTAGCTTAGCACAAAAATAAAGATTTTTATTAGATTATTTGTGTGATTTAATTGGAAACCGTATGTGAGCACATGTGTTAAAATTTTTAAAATTATTTTACTACAAAAAAAAAAAAGTTGAGTGGTTTCAAATTGGGTATTTTTGCAATAAGTTTCTAATCGATACCCATAAACGTTTAAGATAATAATTTGTTTTACCTGTCATCTATCAAAAGTTGACCAATCAGAGCCATTTATTTGTTAATTTTTGACCAATCAAAAGTAATTGTTCTGAATATTGGACTGGTACAAAGTGCAGCAAATATTGTACTAGTACTACGAGGTAAATAAAATAAAATAAACGTTTAAATTTGTTGAATTATTGGTTTAATAAAATTGTCGAATATTTTGGGGTGTGATATATCATATATCATATATCATAACAATATTCGCTATATATAGCGAATATTGTTTGTGGTTGTGGTTAACATATTTTTAATCACTTGTAATATTTTATATAAATTTTGTCTTGAAATATTTATTTTGTCAGAAAATTTATGTTAAGAAACTAACTGCTGTTTGTTTTGTTTTAATAATATTCTTTTAGGAAGTTAAATATCGGTCAACCATGTCAACCTCAGCTGCCTTATTTAAATGGTTTTTATCAAATATACAATACTATATTAATATACAATTGTTGATGAAAATATACAAAAAAATCATTAAAACCATAACAAGGTCTTTATATCTTAGATAATAACTTCAGAAATCGACTGATTGTTTTAAGGTGAGTCACCCAGTATCATGGGCGGATTTAGGCATGGGCATTATGGGCTGCAGCCCAGGGCCCCGTCCGATCGAGGGCCCCCTACGTGATGCAAATATATTTTTTTAAATATAAATCAGACTGATTAAAAAATCAAATATTTAATAGTTGCATAAAGGTAAAATATTGAGCCTGTTAAAATTTTAGCTCTTAATAAAAAAAGAGTCCACCTATCGCGATTTTCTATTTCTCATTTAAATAGCATGAAAGAATATAATAGTTATTTACGATATAAGTGGGATAAGAGCTTTATTAACGTACGCATGCGAAATTTGCCCAACGAGTGCGTAGCACGAGTTGGGCAATCGCAAAAGTACGTTAATAAAGCGTTATCACACGTATATTGTACAAATTTTTATCTACGCCTCTAAATGAAAAAATAAACGGTAATTATTTTTGTCTAAGACTTAATTTAGGGTTATTTTGACATTTTGACTTTTTTATTTGATTGGTTAAAAGCAGAGAAAAACGCGTGCGTTAATGAACTTCTTATCTCACTCAAAATGAGTGGGATAAGAAGTTCTTATCTCACTGGCGTAGATAATTTTATAAACGCTCTACAAAGAGGTCTCTTATTATTTTATAATAAATCTACTTGTTAAAAAGTTATTATTGCATAAATTTATAGTAAATTTCAAGTTTTTTCTCAATTTTCCGCTAAAACTATCAGACTTAACAAAAAGTTATATAAAAATTGTAATTGTAATATTATAATTTTAAAACTTAATTCTTAGTTATACAGTTACTGATTTTACAAATTAATAATTCTGAATAAAATACTAATCAATTTCAAGAAAATATCAATTTTATTGCAAAAAATATTTGTATTTGTACTGGTTAAACCAGTTAATCATAATTAAAACATTTTAAAAAATAAAATGATCTACAAAAAATGTTTGATCATTGTCCACATTTTCTAACAATTCTGATGGTTTTACCGGGAAAGTAAGAAAAACTTAAAATTTTCTATGAATTTGTCTTAAATATCTTTTTAACGAGTAAATTTATCATAAAATAATAAGTAAACTTTATTTTAATTCTCTAAAAATGAGTTTGTTAAAATATCACCCATTAATATTATTTAATAAAAGTTATAATCATTTTAGTCCATTAACCCCTTAATGAGTTATATAATTTAAAAATAAAAAATATCTCATGTACCTACTTAATTTAAAAGTAAATTCCCGATTAGCAACCAATAATATTAGAGGTCATCCATTAATTACGTGAGGCAATTTAGTTGATTTTTCGACTCCCCCCTCCCCTTGGTGAGATGTCGTGAGATTTTGCTCGACCCCCTCCCCCCTCCCTTAATCTCACGTGAGATTTTTTTAAATGCATGGTTTTAATGTAAATAAGTTAATCTGTGATTAATTCCATTGGATTTATTAAAAAAAATAATTGTTGTATTTGTTTACTTAATTTAACCCAGTTTTCTCGCAATTTTACACTGTTTCATTCGAAAAGAAAAAATTACGTGATATTTGCCGAGACCACCCTCCCCCCACGTGAGATTGGGTGAGGTTTGGCTCGACCCCCTCCCCTCTATATGGTCATATATGAGCTTTATAAGGCTATTATTAAAAAAAAAGTCGATTTTTGATCAGTTACTGCAGTATAAAATAATCTCTTTTACATACTTTAAAGGCCGCTAGCAGCTAAACTAAGCAATTTTTATTTAGGTAAGGGCCGGTTTATCAATGTCCAGTTAAAGTTGCAGTTAGTTATCTGGTAGATAATTTCCATGGATACCATTGTTCTCACAACGATCGATATAAAATTTAACTGTCAGATAGACTAACTGGAACTTAAGTAGAGATTGATAAACCGGCCCTAAGTCAAATTATTGTAAACCAATAAATATCTTCTTCTCGGGACACCTTGTATAAATGCTAGAATGTTTTATTTATATTATTTATGTTATCCAATTATTTTATTAAGAATAAGTGTTACTTTTTTCTTGTTTTTTATTATTAATTATTAATAGGCCCCCAAAGAGTTTTAGCCCAGGGCCCCCAAAGCCAACGCTCCGCCCCTGCCCAGTATATATTTTAAATGGGCCATTTAGGTTAATAAATAAAATAATATTAATACTAAAAAAAATTTGTTGGCAATACTGACTTCGGCGGGTCAAATCCTTTAAGATTTACATATTTACATATAAATTATGTTTGGTCTGTGTAATTATAAGTTCAAACATTTATCTTAAGGCAGATGCATCTGCAAGTCGAGCTTCTTCTTAAAAATTAACGTCGAGAGTTAGCGGGAAGAGAGGTGAATGTCGCGCCGAAAATAACCACATCATTTGCGAGTTTTATCGAAACTGAGCGTCGCGGCGCTTGAACTGGGCTAACAGCATCAGTATTCAACATGACGGACGACTACACACACCACGTTCCGCGACCAAAGGGCCGTTCGGCGTCGATATGCGCCGCCACTTCCACTAGCATGGAAGCGATATCGCAAAGCGGCGGCGGCACCCCGGACGCGGGCACGCCGACCTCTCGACGTCGCCGGCCGGCCGCCCGCTCCCAGAGCGCACGGCTCACCAACACCAGGTCCGTAAGAAGGAAGCACGTGGTCGCCGCCGCCGCCGCCTCCAATCACGTTGATAAAAGTCATTGCAATAGTGAGCCCAAACTGGCCGATTCGCATGCAATTCACACCCCAGACGTGTCACCCAACATCAGACGCAAAGGGTCTATGAGACGGGGAACCTCCGTCTACCAGAGGAAGTCAGCGGCTTTTCTGGACGTGCCAGATAATCGCAGTGGAAGGAATTCCAACACCGAGGGTGAAGAGGACGAGGATTCTTATCGCTTAAGATCGTTCAGCTTCACATCTAAAGGTATGTGTGGTGTTGCAACCGATTATTTACGATAATGATGAGTATATTGTCTATACGAACAATATTCTAAAGAGCACGTACGTGACTATAAAATAAATAAGTAATCTTAACCTAAATAAATTATTGCCAAAATGCAATGTAATCTAACAAGAGTCGTAAAATTTAACGAACAATAGCGTTTGTGCAAAAATAGATTTAATGATTTACTTTTCTTTATTTTTAGTCAACTCACTTCTACGAAGAAACAATTTACTTTCATGAAAATAGCAAATGATTATAAAAATAGATACCATTATAAAATAAATACAGCGAAATTTATACAAAAGTATCAAATATTATATATAAATACTTTCAAATGCAAACATTTTTTTTATGTGATAACACGTTGGCGACGGAAGAAGTTAAAACAAAAATGTTCTCAACCCTTTGTAATGCAGAATAAATTGTAGGACAAAAACATATACTTTTCAATAGAATTTGTGTACTTTGCTGCATACTGTAATAACTTATATTTATTCTTCATTTGAAATTTGACTATTTTTCCACTTATCTTCTTGTTTTAAAACAAAAGGTAATAAAAAACAAAAATGTTAATAATAAATCGACTTCTTAAATATAGATACAATAAGTTAACATATACAACAGTTACTGTGGCAACCATTTCTGTCCGATTTATGTAACAAAAATTAAAATTTAAATTTAGAAAATGCTCGTTAAAAAATAAACATTCGATCAGATATTATATATACGTAAACACGAGCTAGAAAATTAGCAGTTTGATCAATGTAAGCGATTTTTCTGGGTTATGTTAATAACACTTTAGCAAAAGAGTTTTAAAAAAAATTAATATATCGAATTTGTATTTATTAATATTATGTATACCATATGTTTTCAAATCTAGCATTTAATTTTACAACCAATGTTGTATGCATAAAAACCTAATCCGATATGAACACACAATATATTTAATTAATTATAAGTATTAAAATGTATTTTAAAATATACCCCATTGAAAGCAATACTCTTTTACCAATTCCAGAATTTTGTTTTTTCAATTCAATTGTGTCCTTCCACGATATGGTAATTTTAGTTTTGTAAAAAAGGAAAAGTCGGCAGAAACCAAATTAGAAAAATATGAAAATTAATAAAATATATTCGTTAAAATTTTTGCCAAAAATAAGGTCATAATAATGAAGAAAATACAGCTCTTTAAAAATAAGAATGGTATCGAACTTTTTAAAACTAGGCACACAATTTTTGGTTATCTTTAAATAATTTGTAAAACTCGCATTCTTGCGTTAAAAAAAACAACTATCCATAGGTCTTTGGATACAAAATTTCGCTGGAAAAACAAAATCACTGCATTTAGGAATCGATATTTATGCTGTAACAAAAAATTACAGGATGTTTTTTAATATTTTTTGACATAATGCTAGTAAAACAAATATTAGAAATATTTCCCAACACCAAAACAAAACACAACGATGTTGGCATCTTCAGAAGCGAAGTAAAGCTATACTAATTATAAGCTAAGGTTGACTGAACCGTGGACGGACATAGCTTACTAAACCGTGGACCGTTATTCGCTTCAGTGAACACGTAAAGAGAAACTAACAAACTAATTTATACAAACTATAGTTGGGTACCGGTCCGCTATCGCAATTTAAAGATTTATTTTTATTTTTATAGGTGTATAAACTTTCATAACTATCTAGCATACTTGGTTTCCTAACTTCCTTAATAAGTTTAAGGTTGTCTAATCTTATTCTATGACCATTATCAGTATATGTTGGGCAACACTTGATTTCTCTGTCCTACCAAATCTAGCGTGGTCCAAGTGCTCTTTAAACCTAACTTGGATATATCGTTTAGTTTATCCAACATATTTCTTGTTACAATCTTGACTTTAAGCACTTTGTGTTTTGTTTTGGTGTTGGGGAATATTTCTAATATTTGTTTAACATAACACTAAAGTTGTCCTTTTTCAAGTAGAATGCTAGTAGTTGAACACTTTAGTACAATTTTGTGTTATCACCATAACAAATATCAGTGTCAATTAATTTTAAAGAAAATAATGAACCACCGTATAATCGTCATAGTAGTAATAAATACTACCGTGGAGGAAATTAAAATCTCGAATCTCGAATAGTTACCGTGGAAAAAGACATCAATTTTTTTCCCAGTTTATGACTGAGCCACTTTCTTATTTGAAAACGTATAGGAAATGTATAAATTTATTATTATTACACAGAAAAAAATCTAACATAGTACCAAGAACAGCGCTGTCATTGAATGCATTAAAATTGAAGCAATCTAAATTTTTATTTGATCAATTAATTACTATTAAACCAAAATAGGGAAATATTTTGCCTAAATGTCAAAGAATTTATTGCGTTAAATGTATACATAGTATACATACAATAGTAACGTTATTAAATAAATCAAATTAGTATTTAATGCAATAACATTCTACCATTCTAACAAATAAATATCAATATGATTATCAATAGATTTTACTTTTGTTATTAATTTAAAAACAGTAAACGATTATAAACCAAGTGCTAACTACCTATTGGTATTAGGTATAGGAACTGTTATTCAGGAATACGGATTTCAAGATCCCATTGGTTTAATGGCTCACCCATTCATGCTATGCTAGCGTTTTTTCTGTGTATAAAAAAATATGTATATCTTATTTTAATATTAAGTACAACCGAATTGTATTAAAGATTTACATTACATTTACTAAAAAATTAAATTAAATATTGTTTTTGTATCTCTTTTCAATAGGTTTAAGTACACCTATTAATAGATACTATTTATCAAAAAAATCTAATGTCTTTGGTGTAAGATCAAAACAAATTTTATTATAATTTATTTAATTAATTCCAGTCAAAATAAATAATACAGAGGGTCAAAGTTAAACATTTATTAAAAAATGCCAGACGGAGCTACGGCACTTTGGCAAGAATACTTTTTTTAATAATACTAGAGGGTTAAATCAAAACTATCAAAATTGAATCGTAGGTTTACGCCTATAAGCGTATGTAAAGGACATATAAACTGCCATATTGAGAAGCTGAAGTAAAACATTGACACAGGTTTGACTATTTTGAATCTAACAAGCTCAGAAGTCAAAGGCCATAGCAAAATTAAAAGAAAATTGCTGATTTAAATGTTAGTAAAAGCTGCATAAATTATATTAGAAACGCAGGCAGGAACAACATAGAATGCAAAGACCTATAATACAAGGTGTAGGAAAGGTCTCTAATGAGTATGAAGACAATGCTCTAATCCAAAATATTCACCAAAACAAGCTTGGTTAAAAAACTGCGCTGCTGCCTGCAAGGTTTTTTTAACAGTCAAAAATAACCGCAGGCGAGTTTAGTTTGCAAATAAATCACGGTAAATATTTTTGGAAAAATTTGGTATTCTTCCAGTCATCAAATAATAAAAGACTTTGAGTTTACCGCCCAAAAAATAAAAGATAGGAGGAGAATTACACGTTGGGAACAAGAAATAATATTAATGGGCGTTAACAGCCGTAAATTACATAAACATTTAAAAAAATGTTTTGTCACCATTAGTAAGATAAGTTTTTCCCGATAATTTTACATTTTAACGAGTAATTAAATAGGATTGCACGCACATAACTATTTATATTCATTAACTTTTATTACAGGACTATTTTTCAGTTCATACGGCTTAAATAGTATGAGAGTGGGTTAACATCCACAATTTAAATGTTTTACCATGGCCATCAAAAAGTCCTGACTTAAACCCTATCGAGAACGTATAGGGCTTTATATAAAAAAAAAGGATTTTAGGCCAGTGAACCGCGAACAATTGTGGCACGCTATTAAAAATACATTAAATTAAGTCTAGTAAACTGGAGTGTTATAGCAGCTAATGGTTCTACAATAGTATTAGTATTAGTATCCAAAAGGATTTTGTCTGATATGTTTAAAGAGATCATGGTCTTCATTCTCATTAAATACCTTTCTTACACCTTTTTTAAAATGTCTTTGTAATCTATGTTTTCCTGTCAGCGTTTATTAATGTAAAATATGCGGCTTATACTAACATATAAATCAGCTGCTTTGTTCCCATGTGAATTGAATTTTTAAATAAAAAATAATAATGTTATTTTATTTAATTTCTTTTAAAATTTTAATCATTAAATTTTAATGTCCAGTCTGCAAAACGATAATAATTAAATTAATATCTTTCCGTTCTATATATTCTACCTTTTTTGTTTGTTACGCCACTGGGAAAAACAGACATACTGTCTGTCCACTCTAAGTTGGCTGAACTAAGGAATTTTGTTGTTTAGATATTAAAGAATTGTAGTACTGTGTGCTTTTAAAACAGATTTTATATTATAAATAATACTAGTATATAATATGTACTAGTATTATTTATAATATAAAATCTGTTTTAAAAGCACACAGTACGACAATTCTTTAATATCTAAACTACAAAATTCCTTAGTTCCGCCAACTTAGAGTGGACAGACAGTACATTAATTAATTTATTTAAAAAAATCCAAGATACCCAAAATAGTTCACATTGTACACGGCTAAATACTTTACAATGTAATAGTCAGGGACCTAGCGAAGGTTCCAATCATGAGGGGGTACGGTAAGAATATATTTTTCGAATTTCGGTTCTAAAATCTTTATAGAGAATGAAATTATTTTCAAAAATGTCTATTTAAGCAAGTCTGTAAGTTGAATATGTTCTTCACAAATTGCTGTTCTACTAGAAAATCTTCTAAAATAGCAGTAAATCGTATTTGGAGACTAAACTATTGATTGTAGATAAAAAACGTAAATGACAATTTTGTAGGGAATTTTGTGTTCTATAAATTTGTTAAAATATATTTTTCTGTATCACTTATAGTTTAGCTTGTACATCCACTCAAAATGTTAAATTCTTAAAAATTTAGTTTCTGACGACTGAAAAAGTGTCTGTACAAGCTAAACTATAAAAAATATAAATATATAAATATTTTTAAACAAATTGTAGAGCACAA